CAATTCTGGTTGTGTAAATATGTTGTATAAATGTATTATTGTTTTGAATTGTTTTTTTAAAATGTTATATGCAATCGGTGTATTTAGCTTCATTCGAAGTTACAATGTTTTTGTTCATAAATTAATTATTGAAGAACTACTCTAGAATGTTCCGTTTGTAATATGCACGTTGTCGTTTTCAACTTGAAGAGCCGCGCACTGAGTTGACATTTGCAGAACCAGGAACACCAACACCAGTATTACCTGCAGTGCCAACAACCACTGCTTCATTATTGCCTTCTTGTTCTCATACTTGGGAAACTTCATTTCAAACAGGTGAGAAATGCATAATAATGAGCAAATACATGTTTTCTACATGGTTCAAAACTGTTACCGGATTATTAATTATTGACGCGACATGAGTATTTGCAGATATGCATACGAACATGGTATGAAGTTATTGTCGTCAGATATATAGAAACGCACGTCACATGCATGCGTATTAAGCACACGTGGTACCTAACATGGTATATATGAGCGTCGGGTAGATTGCAATGTGCTCATAACGATACTTTAAATGATTTACATTTAGATTCCGTTATGTTGTTTACCCTTGATTCAAATTTGGTATGATATTATGTAGATACTAGTTTATATTCAACATTCTGCCTTAGGAAATGTGAAGACAAAATTACCGTATGTCAGGCTGATTGTATTTCAGCTTTAAAACCACAAGACATCACAGTATCCAACACACGTTTATTATTTTATTTTATTAAGGAGGGATTCAACATAGCGATCCAATTGGTGACTTTGCGCTAAACATTGGAGGTGACTTAAGTGAAGGTGAGTTTAATAGTAATAATACCGTAGACGTTTTAATCGGTTTCAAAATATAGATGGGATTAGATAAGTAATTACATTTCAATCATTTTCAGAAGAAGTTGATAAATTTAAAACACTACTCACGGGATCTGACATAAAGAAAGGGGACCGAGAACATATAAAAAATGGCAGAAAATTAATAATCGCACTTAATGAACATGGACATATAAATTCAAAACACGGTAGTTTCCAGTTTCTTATTACCAAATTAAAGCAAATTGGAAGAAAGGACCTGGCAGAAAGGGTACCGACTGAATGGGAAAACGCGAAGGCGACAGCAATAAGGTAACGATTCACACCAAACTAAAATTAATTCAAGCTAAAAAAAAGTATTTGACACTATTACTTAAACACATAAGTCGATATTTACTACATATCTGGGATTAGGTGCAGTGAATTAATACTGCATTATGTGTGGGTAAAATGGTAATATTGTCTCAATTTTAGGTACACACATTGAAGACAAATCCCATACTGGACACCGCTAGTGACTGGACTGCAATTGTATGTACCTGATCGGCCCTATTCGTCATGCTGCTCCCTTTATATAATGTACACATTTGAAATGTTTGATAATTTGTCCGTGGCTAATGACTGCCAAGTGAATTTTTAATATTTTCTTGAATACGAAATTTTGGTTTTTGGCGTAATTTCAATTGATGAGTTGGAGGTAAGCAATCTCAATGTAAAGTTTACCTGTGGTTATCAAAATTATGCCAGTGGTGGCGACATCACCCTTTCAAAAATAGGATTTTTTAAATGAACAATAAAAATAAAAATCTTATTTTAAAGTTAAGACTGTTCATTTTATTGGCGGTGGCCACAGACACAACGAAATTATTAATGCTATATCAAAGTCAAGTGGGATCAGCAATGTTTCCAGTCAGTTATGTACCCAGGCGTCGTTTAGATGATGAACTCTGACCTCAGGTAAATAACTGCAATATGCGAGCTGTACAGGGTACCTTTTTAAATAAACATCCAAACAGCCAAAAATCCGTTTAAATAAATATTGTTAAATTTTATTTGATATAAACATGGGTTTAAAATATTGTACTTACTTTGGTATGGATATGGATTTTGTCAAAACATTGGTATAAAAATGCACAAACTTTTGAAGGCTCAGTAGCCCCCTCCTACTTAGTTTTAGATCTGGTGCTGGGAACATTGTTGATTTCACTTCCCTTTGATCTAATATTTTGTTTGAGTCCGTGACCGACTACTCGTGCAAATAATTGAAAATATACCATAGCGGATTCTATAAAATGAACAGTCTCAAATTGAAAATAAAATTTTGATTTTCATCGCAAATTTAAAAATCATATTGTTGAAAAATAAATGTCGTCACCACAGGAGTCGAGAACCACAGCTAAACTTCAAATTGTGATTACCGCGAATTCATCAATTGAAATTACGTCAGTTATTTGCATTAATGTCCCAATGTTTTTCATTTATCATTCACGCAGTTTTTTCGAATAATTGCTAATGTTATTTTCCTCACTAATTTGCTGTAGCGATACCGTCCATATCATAGATTTATATAAAATATATAATTTGCCATTGTTTCCGAACATTGTTCTTTCTGACACTTGGATTGATAATTACTAGTACATGAAACTGGACATATACAAATATTTATGTATATTGTCATTGTTATACCATGTAATGCAAAGTAAATGTACATGGTTTAGCTGTTTATGAACATTGAAAATTTTCATTGAGAGTAGTGTTTGTATTCAAGATGAATATTTGTTCACATTACAATTATTTATAAAAAAAGACTGTTACCCATATATATATATCTGAAGACAATATTAGACTCACTTAGTTACTGTGACATAATTCTAGTGTACTTTCATGGTTTTAGGATTGTGATATTTAGTTTCGTATTTTTATGAATGCGAACACGTTTATTATTTAGTTATCATCATTTATTGTCAAGTTAAAGAGACACCTCATACCTCTTCTATACAGGAGTCGTCTGACTATAATTCGTGGTCATTCACTTCTGATCAATCCTTCCAGTAGTTAGCAGGTTAGCAGGCATAGTCTAGGTGTTGCCAACTCACTGCTGTCATTTAAACACTATGTTATATATGGTTATACGCTAAATATCTACGTTCTGTAGTTCAACAATTACGTTCAATTTGCGTAACGTGACAGACTAATTGGCTGACCTTGTCAAAATGACTAAGCCAGTGACTTCCAGAAACACTGCAGTATATCTGACTAATATTTACGGGATACATTCAGTCTGTTTTAATAACATTTTATTAAGCGTTTTCAGCACAGTAATTCACCACTAGTTAACACCTTTGATGGTCTAGTATATCTTGACAAAAGAATTGTATTTTTAATCCAAGAGGTATTCACATCTTTCATTCTCATCAGTGTAAATTTGAAACATGTGGTTCCAATGTAAATTTGACGGGAGTCCGAAAACATAAAAATAAACTACTAAACATTGTGACATTTGTTAATATTTTGTTGCAATTTATTGACCAGTACTAATGTAGAACATAATAATCGTGCTGCTAAGGGAATAATTTCGCACCAAAAGGTTAAATCACTGTGCACACTGCTAACATGTTAGATAATCCATTGTCAGACATTACTATTCAACAACATTCGCAGACTAACAAAAAAGCTATATTTCAAGTGCATCTGATTAGACACAATAAACAAATGTACACTTCATCTAAACCTCTCAAAAGCAATTACTCTAAAACATAGCAGTGCTCCAAACACCCATTAGAGATGCATCGAAAAAAAACAGATTTTTTTAATTTGCTATAATGATTTGAGATTTTTTTATTGGAAAAATATTATTTCTCTTCTCCCTTGTTCATTTCCTCAGAAGATGTTCTTTTATTTGAGTGTAATACATTTCCAGTTCTACCAACATTTGATGTAACCAATTATTCTTATTCTGTGTAAACCTACTGATGAATTGCTGAATAAGAAACATCTAAAGGTTGATATACAAACTGTTACACTGTAAATGACACTTAATGTCATTAATCTCAAAACTACAATCTAATCGTGACATCCTATTGAAATTAAATAAACACTGACTGAAATAAATTCTGAGGTAGAGACTGTTAAACAAGGATAATTTACACATTTGCAAATCAATTCTTGAGAACGGAATTTCCGAAGACAAGTTTGTTGACGTTCAAAAGAATGTTCCCGACTTTGCAAAAAACATTCTCATCTACAAAAAACTTTCCCGACTTTCCAATATCTTTACAAACTTTGCAGACTATAATTAATTTTTTCACTAGGCGAAAGTTTCCACACAACGTCTCAGACTTTCAAAGGGAATGTCTGACTTTGTAGACTACTTACTGTATTACTTTTACCATTTTTACTGTATTAATATTACTAAATTACTTTTCTTATGATATTGCCTTTATGACGTCAATCAATGTAATCGACATTCATATAACTTTCTAGACTTTCCAGAACATTTTACAAGATATTTCATTGCAGATGTCTATTTTTCATGACAGATTGTCCGACTGTGAATGTTAATTTTATGAAATTGCAGGTAATTTCTTCTTCTTCTGAAATTACTTGTCAACCAACGCAGACAAATTGTCCCATATAACTGTAGGTCTTTAAAAACACTAAGAGTCAATCAACCACGTACATACAATTTCAAAATAATTGGGGTGGAATATTACTCGTACATTTTTGTCATATTGTATTGCACACACACGAACAAAATATGTCGAAAGTTGCCAATAATTAATCGTTTTATGTTTGGGAAAACTCAATTATAACATAATTCGTTATAAAATACACTACAAGTTTGTCAAGTATTTAAACTCAAATAGTAATCGTTATATGAAATAGTAAGTTTGACCACAATTTCACAATACTTCCTGGCTCGTACATTTCAGGAATGTACACTTTGGCCTGTGTGTGTTTTATTTCCTAGTATATCTAAGCTTCTAGATCATTTGATATCCTCAGTCGTGTTAGTTTTGATCAGCAAACAAGAAAGCTCACTAATCAGTACGTGAAAGATGGCTGGATTCTAGCAATATACACATACCAGGTAGTGCATGGATCAAAGATTTGTTTAGCATAGATCTGAGGTAATGTAATGATAACACAGCTTCCTATACATCTTAACTATTGCAACGACTTCCTTTTCCACTCAGTCCAGCATGGCTAATCACTGCCAGTAAAGTTGTCTTCATATGCTTTTTTCCTATTTGATAAGCAAAATTTGCAAAAGACAAATATTTTGACAATCCAGATAACCATTCTAGTCTGAAATATGTCAGGGATGTTAATACCAAAGTACATTTAACAAGAAGTCAAAGGCATGCGAGGAACTGCATGTCTGAGAAGTTTGGAAATCTGAAAAATCATAATGTTTGTTTAGATAAACCTGTTGCATAAACCATAACAAACAATCAACTTACTGTAAAATGACTAATTTTCACTGGGTTTAAATTTCACTGATTTACCATTTCAGGCATATTCAGTGGGTTTTAAATTCACGGTTTTATCATTTAGATAATGTGTTCTGTGCTAAATTTTACATATTCACTGGGTTTTAATTTAGCGCATTTTCCAGTCAGCGAAATAAGCTAAATTAAAACCCAGTGAATAATTACCCCCTTTACAGTATTGAATGAGGTAAGCACAAAGCAAAGACATTCTGTTATATTTATGATTGCTAGAAACACATCTCCATAATTGATAGCTTAATAAAAACCACACATTTTGTGTATTATTATTATTTGTATATTATGCATGTTAATTTGGGTCACAACAAAGATTGTCAAGAATGCTGAATTGAAGGTTCAGAATGAGATAAAAAATGTTGATAAAATTTAATTTATTTGATAAAATTATTTTTTGGTGTTACAGTTCAGCTTACAATTTATTTAAGCTATAATTATTGAAAAGAATAAATAAACATTTCATTTGATGTACATGTTTTTTCGATACAAATATAGGAAAACTATAGTTTGTAAAATGTTCTTTTCATTACATTTGATTACACAAGACATTATTAACATACAACATCACTGGAAAAATCTAGTTCATAAGTTTAATTGACAATAATAACAAAAATAAATAGTTTTGAAATATTTATTACATTTTCGGAAAAATTAAGACATAGTACACACCTTAGAATATACACCACAATGGTTAATCCATGTATAGGATGATCACCATGGTAACCTATTTGTATGGTTTGCAACATGGGTAATTAAATAGTAATGTACATTTCTGTGATATTCCAGGTTCTTCACTTACATAGACATTATTGGTATATATTCATGACAATATGCCATACAGAATAACAATCAAATGCTGTTTAACAATAATAATTGGTGTTATGGTACAATGCACTATTAAGTAATGACAATTGATATATACACATGAATGTGTTAAGATGAATATAAAAACGAAAACACTGGCATTAATATCATAGTTTAAAATTGAAATGTTATCAACGCCATATAGCTATTTTGAATTGAATTCATAAGAGACACTAATGTGCAAAAATAATAAAATCTGTTCAAATACATGGAAATGCTCGGATGGATTGTGAAAGCAAGTAGTGTTCACTTATAAATAATCACACTATGTCTTTGTCAAGTTCAGATATGTTGGAAAAATTGGACCACGATTGCCAAATCCTAAAATCTGGACTTGAAAATATATACTACTCAAATAGATTAGCAAACTTAATCTAATAAAACTTAATCTAATAAAACTTAGTCTAATCAAACTTAATCTAATCAAACTTAATCTAATCAAACTTAGTTAATAGAAAGATAAATTATTTCAGGAAAACACAATTTTCACAAACTTACACAATAAAAAAAATTATGCAAAAATTGGTTTTATTATGACTACTGAAAGAGAGCATTGCAAATTAAAATGCCTGTTCATGGAAGCACCTCTTGTAGTGACACATGCAACACAATGTTACATCATGGATGTCACTAGTCACTGTAGTCAAGGCTAGGCATTGATTGTAACTTCTGGATCAGCCATTGAGATATGTGTAGGGGAGAGGGAGTGATTGTCCATGACAAGACAAATGATTCTATAAATTCATATTAGATGAATAAAAAGACCATTCTGGTAATTAATTCGACTGTCTAGGACAGGCTGTAAATAACAGAGAGGCTCACACTTAGTTTTTTTCCTGTTTCTCACATGGTAGTGACCTTGTTTAACCACCAGGGAGCTCTGACTCTCTCTTTGATTGTTAAATGTACACATGGAAACAAAAACATAAAAATGTGAGGCAACATGTCTTTGTTAAGTGTATTCAATATTGGCAGTTATGATTTCAAATAAGCATTCAGTACATGCAAAGCTTAACATTCTTACAGGAGGACAATATTCTATCTTTATTCAAGTTACCATGTTAACACATAATGTAGACAAGTGTGGCAGATTGAAACAGACATTGTGCCAATACTGCCTGTATATAACATCAATGCACATGGCTCAAACCTATTTGATTTTTAAATCCTGTGTTCCATGAATTATTTTGAGTAGCATTCATTTGTAAATAGATTCTCTAGCTCAAACATTTCACCCATCTTACAATCATTGCATGACAGTATTTAGATCATCCAGGTTTTTATTTACATACTTTTTCCTTTCTATTTCATAAACATTGTGCATTATCTATGACTTTAAAATACAAACAATGTTTCTGATTTCACTTGTGTGGTAAACATTATCTTCTGTTTCAGCAAGGGTCTCATAGCATTGTTGTTGTTTCATCATCCAAATTATCATCCTTGATATCACCAATTTGTTTTTCAAGTTTTTTTAATTGTTTCTGTGTTATTTTCTCCACCTGCTCTTCACTTTTTGTCAGTGTTTCTTTCAAGTCATCCAAAGTTTCCGGTAACGCTTTGTTTAGGGATTCTGGGAGAAAGAAATCCA